GATTCTGATCAAGAGCACGTACCTTGATTGCAGGCTTAATCACCGAGTGTGGGAGGCAACCAGTAGTTGTGTCTTTCTCACATAGATGTTTCTCTCTCCTCCTCCTCTTCCTCCTGTCTTCCACTCTCTCTAAAAATATCCTTGGGTGAGGGGTAACACAAACAAACAAAAAAAGCCCATGGAAGGGGCAACTAACTACTGATGCTAGTTTCTGTTCACTGCACTGTTACAGTTCTCTGCCTCCATTGTGCGTGTATGTTCACACTTCTTTCTGGATGTCTGTGGAAACCCTGTTTATTTGCTTGTAGGCTTACTATGCTCCTTCATCTTGGTTACTCACTTTCCTCGGTCCCCTAAGTACAGGGATTCTCTTCCCTTCTTTTCTCTCTCTCTCTCTCTCTCTCTCTCTCTCTCTCTCTCTCTCTCTCTCTCTCTCTCTTTTTTTCTCTCCTCAAAAACTCATCTATCAATTCCTGCTGCTTCAGCCATCACCTCTGTGAAGATGCTTCCCAAATCTACACCCACAACATTTCCAGCTGCCTGCTGGGCATCTCCATCTGGAAGTCCTTCTTGCATTCAAATGTAGCATGTCCAAAACTAACTCATTAATTCCCCATTAACTTTTCTTTTTTCCCAATCTCTGCTTATAATAACATCTTCACCTCCAAGATACCTGTTTGAATCTTAAAATTACCCCTTACCTTTCCTTTGCTTCTTGATCCCATCCCAGTGTCTTCTACATACAGTCAATTGACCAGACTATCCTATTCCTCCTCCATTCTGTTGCCTTTATTCAGCTTTTCTCTTCCCTCCCTGCTGCCACTACCCTAATTGAGGCCCTCATTATCTCTCACCAGGACTGTTGGAAGAAGCTACTCCTAACTAATCTTTTCTCTCCTTTTCACTGCCCTCCACACACCATAGTCAGAGTAACTGTTTTATTCGTTAGCTCTCATTGCACTAATCCTTTGCTGACAAACCATCCATGCCTTCAGATTGCCCGCAGAATGAAGTCCCAGCTCTAAACCTGCCTTTTATGATTCTTCACTCTTTACGCTGTCTTTTTCTAGGCTTCCCAAATGGGTAGCTCCGCAGCTCCTGAACCTGCTTCCCATTTTTCCACCTTCTTATCACTGCACAACCTATTTATTTCTCCTAAGATACCTTAGGAGAATAACCCCTTCTCACTCCTACGTACTTTCATTCTCTGCTTAAATCTGGCCATCTTTTAAGGCTCGGTCTGAATTCTACATATACTGTGAGAGGCACCCCTAGCAAGAACACCAACTTTACCAATCTAGCTAGCATCCATTGTTTGTTTTTTTCAGCCGTGCATGATTTTATCATCTTCTGGATATGCTCTGGCTTGTCACCATCCCTCCTGAAAGAGGCACTGAGAATAAATCATAGTGTTTCAGGAGAAGTGTGACCTGGACTGCAGGAAACATCATACCTCTGTAGATTTAGAGCCTTGTGGTAGGGGTTGGGAGGCAGGGTATGCTCAGGAGCAAATTTTCTTAACCTTTTGGTTCTGTGTGTGTTTTTTTAAGGGTGTTAATGAAGTGAAATTAAAGGTGTTTTGAAAACAATTATTAATTTACTCACACTGTTAATCTGTTCTCCCGCTTGTTACCTGCTATCTTACATGAAAATCAATGGTTAGAAGGCATGCTTTTCTGACTGCTCTCTTGATTTCTGTTAACCAGTTCTCTGCTTTCTTTTCCTGGCCTTTTCAGTAATGCATCTGAAAGTGGCCGGCTGTTTTAATGATATGTGATGTTTGGAATGAGGATAGGAAGAATTGCTTAACTTTTATTGTTCTGGGAGGTAGAAAATGAAACAGTATTTATAGGAGTTATATATGCCAGCACAGTGAAGAGGACTCTGAGAGATAGAAGAAGAAACAGAGTAGAAGAAAGAGAAAATAGGAGTTGAGAAAAAATAGATTGCAAAACAGTAATAAGGAAAGAGAATGTAATTTTGTGATCACTCAATCACCTACCATGTTCTACCATAGTGTTCTATACATTACTCATGTTGTCTCTTCCATACTTGACTAAGGAAAGTATACATAATTAACCTCATTTTATAGAAAAGATCAATATCTGAGTCACACAACTACTGAATACTGGTAAGCAGGATTTTTTAAACCTGATTCTAAAGTAGCACTGTTCTTATTTGACTTAGCAACAAGTTTTGTTCGTGAGGTGAAGCAGATGGAGAATCACTATAGAGCCAAGAGCAATTGATATGGGTTCAAATCCTGGCTCCATCTAGGCTCTGCCACCTGTCTCCCTCATTTTCCTCATCCATAAAATCATGATAAACAGGGTAGCTTCCCTTAGGCTGTTTTAAGTTATATTGGTTAATATACAGTAAAATGCTTAGATCAGTTCTGATATATATAGAATTCTTATTGTATCATCATATTCTTTATCCCTAACCAGGCTTAATCCCCAAAATACACACACACACACACACACACACACACACACACACACACACACAGCCTCACCTTCCTCTTTTCCCTTCTCTTTAATATTACAAAGAAATGGAAGAATAAAGATTAACCTTCAGTAATAAGTAAATAAGGATAAGTAATATAAGTTAAAATGTATAGTTTAAAGCAAAAAAATTGTACTTTGAAAGGGCTCCCATTCACTTTTCTTTTTCTAAAATAAGATGTCTCCTAGCCTCCCTGTGGTTCAGGTCTATAGGATTTAAGCAAATTTTAACAGGATTTTACATTTCTGATGATTATTTCTATTGTGTTATATCTTAATCACTTAATTAACTTTCTTTCCTAGGAAATTAGAACTTTTATTTTTTAAATATGTTTTTATTCATTTAAGAGAGAGAAAGGGAGGGGGAGAGAGAGATAGCAACATCAATGATGAGAGAGAATCATTGATTGGCTGCCTCCTGCACACCCCATTCTGAGAATTAAGCCCACAATCCTGGCATGTGCCCTGATTGGGAATGGAACAGGGAATTGAACCGTGATTTCCTGTTTCATGGGTAGACGCTCAACCATTGAGCCACACTGGCCAGACTAGAACTTATTTTTTTTAATGTCTAATCCTTCTAACTTGCTGAAGATCACTTACTAGATTGAGGAGAAGGCATAAGTAGAAAAACAGCTACAGCTTTTACTTTGCATAGTATATTTATATATACTATAATCTATTTGATTATTCTAAATATTAATTCATTAAAATATATTACCCATAGTTTTCTAAATATTAATTCATTACAATATATTACCCATAGTTTTCTTTTTTTTTTTTAATGATGCCATTTAGTTCTTGTATGACAACCATTTGCAATATTTAAAAACAAAAGACAAAGTTTATTCAGGAAAGTATTTCTAGCCTTAGTTATAGTAAAAACTATAGAAGTTTAATTCTCATAACAAAAACAGACATTCTAAGTCAAAGCTTCATTGTTGTCTAGAGTGATAATATTTTTCATAAATAATAGGAAATGGCAAGATACTTGCTCATGGCATTCTTTACCATTTTACTTCTAAAATAAGTGCATCAACCACCATCATCAAATAAATATCTCTTTATCTAAGACATAAATTTTGTAATTATTTCAGTTGCTATCGACTGCCACAAACAGTTTAAAACTGTGGGTTCCTCTTGTTATCAGAGCAAATGGTTAATATTGAAAGGTTGGATATAGACAGTGGGAAAACCCAGAAAGAGGAGAAAGCCAGATCATCAATCCCCACTGTGTCAGAGTGTCACTTTTAAAACCAGCCATGGTTTTTCCAGTTGTTTGCTGAATTCATGGTTTCCTTCTATTCATTCTTTCTTCCCCCAATCCTTTTTCTTTTTTTAAATATATTTTTATTGATTTCAGAGTGGAAAGGAGAGGGAGAAAGAGATAGAAGCATCAGTGATGAGAATGAATCATTGATTGGCTGCTTCCTGTATACCCCCTACTGGAGACCAAGCTTGCAACCCAGGCATGTGCCCTGACCAGTAATTGAACCATGACCTCCTGGTTCATAGGTTGATGCTCAACCACTGAGCAACACTGGCTGGGCTCAATCTTATTTTCAACAGGTCCCATTGTCTAATTTTGGAATTATGAGCATATTTGCAGCAATTTGCTAATATGATCTGACTGATCTTATGAAAATACTAGAGACCTCGTGCATGAAAATTCAGGGGTCTCTGGAGGGGGTGTACCTCAGCCAGGCCTGTCCCCTCTTACAGTCCAGGAGCCCTAAGGGTGGGAGGCAACCCAGCAATCGGGAAGGCGATGCCACATCACACCTCTGCTGCTGCCACTGCTGGCAGTGCAAGCCTCAGCCGGCCCTGGTTATATAAGCCTCGGCCCTGGTTATGTAAGCCTTGGGGACCCTGGGCTGCTGGCATTCAAGGGTGTGGCAGTCAATTAGCATATTTCCTCCTTATTGGCTGTGGATGCCACCACCTTTGAGGGTGGGGCAGTCAATTAGCATACTCCCTCCTTATTGGTTGTGGGCACCATCATCTTTGCAATGGCATGAGGATCAATTAGCATATTCCCTCTGTGGAATTCCTTAACACAACCCACGTAGTTCAGGGCCCACTCAGGGTCCGGTTTCTGGGGAAGGCCGCACACTAAAATGAAGAGAGAGACTGGAAAAGAGTTAATTTGGGAGAATTGGGGCCAGGCGGGAAGTCCACCGCTAGTGGGAAGACTAACCCCTGCTCTGGCCTTTTACCATTCCTTTTATTGAGATTCTGAGACAAAGACATCTCTTAGGCGGGAAGTTCCAACAACAGAAAATCAACAAGAATTTACATTTACATATGATTAACAAATTAAAGTTTCCTCAACCATCACTATCTCAACTAGACAATGAGTTAATACCTAGCCCCGACCATTTAGAGCCATCAAAGTTGGCCAGCTCTTTTTACATTTTATTACCAGTGACAATGTTAGGTTTCGGTTCCCTTTATTAGATAGGATATTAATCTTATTCTTTTATTTATTTGTTGCAGGGGACTTGTACAAGATAGCCGGAATAACCTCCAGTTGAGGGGCTTGGTGGTGCTACTTATTTCTAAAGCAGCTGGACCCAGCAGCGTGAATGCTTCATGTCAGAACTATGATATGGTCAGTGGGATCTATTCATGGTAAGAAATTAGTCTTTTGACATTGCTCTCTAAATTATGTTTTCTTTTACTGAACAATGGTAGTAGAAATGGCTCTTTAGTTCTGTGTCATTCTGATTCAAAGATAAATTAAAATATTTATAACATTTAAAATATGTATTTTTATTGTTAACAGATCTGATAGTCTTGGCTGCTCCATGCATAACTCTGATAAATTTACCCACACATATGTGTCAAATACTTGCATTACTACTCTGAACATTTAAAATTTTCTGCTCATGATTACCCATCTTCTCCCATCATGGTATCATTATGTCTCTGTAGAGACCTCTTTATCCCTTAGTCTAGGATTTTTTACCTACTTAAACTGATATGTAGTTGTAAAATATTTATGCAAGTACTGTTTTAGCAGAAGTAATCTACTTCAGTGCTATATCATTTATTTTATTTTGCTTATTTTTATGGTGAAAAGATTTTTACTGAAGTTATTGAAATTATATTTTTATATCTCACACATTTGGATTAAAATTAATTATTAGCATATATTAGTCACATTTGTTGCATATAAAATAAACTTTAATTTTTTTGTTTAAAATATTGCATATTTTTAGTAAGATATTAGCAATAACTTTATTTAATTTTAATGGAGTGCTTGGCAGTGTGTTAAAAGCCTCTCTCTATAGAAGTAACAATCTGCAGGTGGACTTTGGCATGTGAAATTAAAACTACCCTAAAAACGTGGGAACAAGGACATTTTTCTCCCAAAAAGAAGCATGTCTAGAAAGTTTGACTTATGGCTGATATATCTTATTGACTTAATTTAAAAATCAATCCACATCTTAGGTTTTTTTTATTTCTAGTGGTCTTATCCATAAATGTTTTATTCTTCTATAATATTTAGAAATGACTGTTGCTTGCTAGCTATGAAGTACAGTGATCCTTCATCATTAACAAGCAAGCAAAATTTATTACTGTTATAGCTACAAATGGCCCCTCCTCAGCCAGGATAATTTTTGCAGATCTTTTACCATTTATGCATATAGGTATCTTCACTAAAAGAGATACCTTGGGATCATTTTTAGTTTCTACTAACTCTGAAATAATTTATATTTTTTAGTGCTTTGTAGGTTACTAATCATTTTTATGACAGTTATCCTTTTTTTAAATCCTCAACTGAGGATTTTTTTTTTTTTCATTTATTCTTCTTAAAGTGGAGGGGTGGGGGTAAAGGGGAGATTCAGCCTGCAACCAAGGTATGTGCCTTTGACTGGAAATAAACCCACAACGTTTCAGCCTAGGGCCCACACTCTAATCATTGAGCAAAATCAGCCAGAGCAACAGTTATCCCATTTGCCCTTACAATAATTTTGTAGGTAAGAGTTACCATGTTACTTTTTTAGGGTGGTGCAATTTCATTTGAGGAAAGTTTAGTCTCTATCTATAGTTTCCTTTTAAACCTCATGTGTGTTTTTTGTTATTCCATTCTGATTTTCTAGTCTGATTCAAATAATTTATTTCACTTGTAGATTAGATTAGGCCATAAAATTATTATTCAAAAAAGGTCTTCTTATAAGTATTTCTTTGAAAACTCCTGAATTGAAAGCAACTTGGCAAATCTTTAATACATCTACATCCCTCCCCCAAACTTTTGAATTAGAGGTCAATACTTTACCTTACAAATTGTGTAGAAAGCTCTTGACTGAGTTTAGTTGAAATAACTGGAGAAAACACAAGGATCCATAATGAATACCAATAACCTGATAATCCCTGGAAAGCAAACAGACTTCACATCACCTTGTATAGCCCATGTATGTCTAGCTCCTGTTGAGAATTCCTTTGGGTTTTAGTCTGTGATTTTGACCCTGTTTTATTAATAGTCTGCTCTTACAATTGGATAATCATACATACCTCTAATGAACACCAGCCAAGTTTTGTTATTCTGATTCTAAAATAACCAATGTAAAGTACTATTTAACACATAATAGGTGTTCAGAATATATTTGTTAGATAAGTAAATCATCCTCGTTCTACAGAAAAAGAAGCTAATACTGAGATTAAGACTTATCTAAAATCCTTTAAGTAGTAAATGATAGAGTTGGGAATTAAATCCTGGTTTTACTCTAAAGTATGTTACCTTTTCTACTATCAGGTGCTCTTTATCTATATGCACACAGTGCACTGTAATGTGAACATGTGTTTCAAATTTCTTACCTCATCTCTGAGAAACACCTACATCACCTTCTGAGCCTTCACAGGAACATAAGCATTTGGTAGATGGTCATTGTAACACGAGCAGTTGTAAAAAAAACTTTGCATTATGAATATAAAAATTTTCCAAATAATATAAATGAATTTTATACCCTAGTATATAGAATCCATAATTACATTTAGGGGATAATCCTGGTTCTGGGCTATTTTCTGTATTTAAGCTTGATCCAGCATGTCATTGGTGATACTTGGGTGGTTTATACACTTGTTAATGTGAAAATGTAATTTGGCATAGTACTATGAGAAACCATTAATTTGTTTCTCCATCCCTGAATTCATTTGTTTTGCTCCTGCTTTTCTTAATTGTTCAAGTGTAACTTTTGCTGGAGGCTTGTATCTATAATGCCACAGTGAATTATTTAACATTTGAGGAAAGTACTTACTTGGGAGCTTTTTAAATTCATTTCCCAACTACTAGGGTTTGCATTGTTGGTGTTTTTCTCCCATAAACTTGACTTTGATGTCAGATAGTGGGACATGAGTAAATTACCTAAGGGACCAAAGTAAGTTAGGTGACTTTTATTTTTAGCCTAAGGACATAACTGATGGATATAACTTGTGGATCTATTTAGTGAATTTATCATATGGCCAAGAGAGGCAGAATGTAGGTTAAAATGTAATAACTACATTTTGAAAAACAGGTAAGAGAGCCACATTTATAAAAGTGCATTATAAGCATCTACCGTAGCCATTTGCCAAGAAGACAGTTCGGTTTACATTTATTCTACCAATCCTGATTTTTACATGGCGGAGGGAGTGTGGGGGGCACTGGATGAAAGAAGGTGTAGAGATTAGCCAAAGGACACATATGCATAGCCCATGGACACAGACAACAGTTGGAGAAGGCGGGGATGAGGGGACTTGGGTGGGAGTGGGAAAAGGGGGTGGAAATGGAGGACATCTGTAATAGTGTCAACAGTATACACATACATACATACATACATACATACATACATACATATTGGTTACAAAGGTAATCAGTCGAAAAAACTACTAAATTTAATGTAAAAGTATCTCTAGCCACTCCTGAGAAAATAAGTGTATAACTTCCTGTTCTATTAATAATAGGATACTCTTGTATACAAAAAATAGATCATTACAATATATAAAACATAACATTTCAAAGTATAGACTTCTCTAGTACAACATGATTATTAAGTTTAAAATTATGAGTGTTTTTAACTAATGGTTCACCTTTCTCAATAGTTTTAGCAAGAATTTACTCAGTTTTTTTCTCATCTGACTAGCAGTTATTAATAGACCACATATTTTCACCTTACCTTCATTGCCTGAAACTTCCCAAAACCTCTTGTTAACTGTGGTAGAAGAGATTAAAACATGTTTGCCAAGCACGTTTTGTTTTCCTTCTCAGTATCCAGCTGGGCTATAGCTGCCAGCTTTGTACAACTGTGTATCTTGCCAGTGCCTTGGACATAGTATTCATTTAAATCTTTAGATGATTGACCCTTCTGTTACTGTAATGTTATAGATCAAAATAAACATTTGAATCACACATGTATAGTATGTGCCTTTTAAAATAGTGTACCTGGACCATGTTTTCCTGTGGCTAGCTGTACCTTATTATGTCCTTTGCAACCCTGGCTGATTTGGCTCAGTGGATAGAGCATTGGTCCACGGACTGAAGGGTGTGAGCTGTAATCAGACTCTAAGGCACTCTTCATGGGACATTCTAATTTTTTAACTTTGTTATTATGTAAAGCAATATCAATATGACATTTAAAGAAAGAAAACTGTTAGTGGAATGTTACACAAAAAAACATAATAAATAACCCAACATAACAAAAAACATTGCAGAATAATTAGTATGTTTTTTAAATCCCAAGTTTTGTGGGTTTTTTTTTTTTAAGGTGTGTCTGTGTGTTTTAATATACTTTATTGATTTCAGAGAGGAGAGAGAGAGGTAGAAATATCAATGATGAAAGAGAATCATTGATCAGCTGCCTTCTGCACGCCCCCTACTGGGGATCGAGCCTGCAACCCGGGCATGTGCCCTTGATAAGAATCAAACCTGGGACCCTTCAGTCCATTGGCTGACATCCTATTCACTGAGCCAAACACACTAGGCCCATTCCTTCTTATAATACACTAGAGGCTCAGTGCACAAAATTCATGCACTGGGAAGAAGGAGTCCCTCAGCCCAGCCTGCGCCCTCTCACAGTCCAGAACCCCTTGGGGGATGTCTGTCTGCTGGCAGTCAGAAATACCTCTTGAAGTTCTGGATCCCTCTCTCCTTACTGTTGAGCGTCTGCCCCTGGTGGTCAGTGCATATTATAATGACCAGTCATTCCACTGTTCAGTCAATTTGCATATTAGGATTTTATTATATAGGATTTTATTTATGTACCTTTATTATCTGCAGCTTCCATTCTGTGGCTTGAAGTTTTACTGGCAGGTTTTAGCTTTTCTGAGTTTGGGTTGCCCTATTCTCCATTTCCAGAAGGAGGAAAGTGAGCTGCTGAGAGACAAGTGCAGTGACATATTTATTTCTAATGTTGGTACGAGAAGGCTGTATGCTCTATGTGTAGGGTCCTTCTCCTCTAATAAAGCCTTTGTCCTGGTTTTCAGCCCTCAGTCTCATCTTTCAGATTTCGAAGAATCATGTGAAAAAGGCAACATACAGAAATGTATTATAGTTTGACCCCCTTGGGATGGGCAGTGGATTTTACATGCATGAAAAAATGTTTCAAATGAGAAACAAAGAGTTATTTTACAGTGCTCACCTCTGGGGAGAG